TCATGACAAACCCCACATTTTTTCCCAGAGTGACATTTTCATCCTCAAACTGATGCCTTTTTTGAGCTCAGTCATCCCAGGAATGTCCAACAGGAACCAGAGAACCAAGAGTCTCCATCACTTGTCCTCCATCTCCCAGCAAAGACCTGTGCAGGTCCCTCGTCCATCCATCCACCCGTCGGGTCCTGGCGGGACCCAGAGCGACGGACAGACGTGAGCCGCCGTCAGGCTGCCTCTTCCCTTACGAGGGCCCTGTCGGAGCCTGGAGTGCCACGCCAGCTCAATCTTAGTAGTGGACAAAGTGAGGAGAGCGGGAGCCGTCCCATCAGTCTCCATTATGGAACAGCGTTGTTGCTCCGCTGTCGTGTTCCTGTGGTACTCCAGGGGAGCTGCTGTCTCATACATCATCAGGAAACAAAGGGTCTGGCTGGGGGGTGGAGAAAGGAGGAGAAAGGAGGTGGGTCCTTCCTGCCACTGAAACACACACTAACACTCTACTGCCCCCCTCCTCCACACCCACCAGCATCAACACCTTAGAGCTCAGCTGAAGATAGATCAACTCAACTGGACTCAACTCTTGTGTTGAGACATCGTTGTCAGGACTGCACTGACAATAAACTAATCCAATAGAGTCTTAATGTTCATAGAGAGAACACAGGGATCAAGTTTGAAATAAAGTACAGTGAAGAACCTCCACTGCAAAAAACACAATGTTAAACACATAACACACACTAACTTTTTTTGCACACTACTTTAGTACATTACATTTTATTATTAACGGCAGCTTCCCTCCCCTAAAAGTCATCTGACTACTAATACATTGGGAATAAACGTACAATGGAGTTCCTAATCATTTGAAAAGCCCAGTTATGTCTCTAAAGTCCCAGCGGCACACTTGTGTGTACGGCCCACACAAGTCAGTCAGCTCATACAAACCTAATGGGTTTCTATCAAAGCAGTAACAGCAGTGACAAATGGCCTGGTTCTGCCCCATTGTTTTACCCTTTACTCCTGCTCCTCTGAAGTCTGCGTGGTACAGATGGAGCAGCTTACATCACCATTGCCATATACTTAATGAAGGAGTGTCAGTCGGGAGACAACCCCCCTCCTCCATTAATTCAGGATCATTACATAATAAGGATTAAAAGAAATTAATCACTAGGTTGTACTGTTGCATCACACTGACTGTGTCTCCCCATAAAACTGAGGAGAATCTCAGGAGGGGAGAAATAAAGGACTTCCATTAGTCCCAGGTTAATACCTGATATGTGTTGTACACTAGAGTTGGAAACTTTGAAGCATAGTGGAACATTTTCAGGGCTATTATTAAAATATATAAATAAATAAATATTGGAACTATTATTTGGAATGCTGTTAACTTTCTGGCTAATGTAATGCCATGTCTGGACTACTATTTGGCTGCAGAGTTTCTTATTGTGTTTTGTCATTCACACTTTTATCAGTGTGTTCTGGCCTTTTTAGCTATTTAGTTATCTTTTTAACTTTTTGGCTTTAATTACCCTGATGTATCAGTTTAAAGTTCAGGTTCTCTTTGTATATTACCAGGTGCAAAGGTTAGCCCTATAAATTGTTGCATTTCTGAATTATACCAGAAATCAACAAAAGTAAAGTAGGATGTAAACATGAACTATAGAAGTCCATCAATGACCTTTGGGTCGTTTGTGATAAATGAGTGTATGTGAGAGTTTCACTGTGTGTCATCAGTCTCAATCTAAACATACCTGGTGGGTTGGTCAGGGTCTGCAGCCAAAAGGTGAAAGACATCGAGGACACAAGAGTGTCTAGAACAACAGATAAAAATTCCTAGTAGGTTTGTTGGTTTTGTTATTTGCATACAGCACGTCACACAGCTTCTCATCTCACATTGTTGTTTCCATTGCTAGTCAGTAATAGAGAGACTGTTATAATCCCACTCACACTCATGCACATGCTTCATCTTTCTTTCATTGACTTCATTATAGTGTAAAAAGCGAGTACAAGCACTTACTCTCTGGACTTCTCGTCGTAGGGATTTGTTAGAACCATAGGCTTCAGATTGTTCAGAAAGAACTGAAAGAAAAAAAAATAAGGAAACAGATTGTAAGACCAAGTCAGAGTGAAAAAAGACTAAGCTCTGACACACAAAAATAAGGTACAGGGTTCTGATACAAAACTTACTGGAGAAATGGTGACAAACAGCAGAAAAAGGAAAGAAGGTGAAAGTTGAGACAGGGGAGGAGTCCACAAGACAAAAACAGCAGGAACAGGTAGAACACAGGTGTAATCACAGAGGGGCAGGAAGTGAATTAGCAACAACAAAGGAGACAAGAGATGAAACAAAAGACACAACCAGGATATTATAAGACTGTACTCCTCTGTGTCTGCTCCCAAACAACTTCTCATTCCACAACTTAGGTTAACTTTGTACTTTCTTTCCTGTTGACTGTACATATGGCATTCTACAAGCTCACTACATGAAACTCTTGGTATCCTCTGAATAATGAATAATGAAATATATATATATATATATATATATATATGGCACATTTGGGTTTAAAATATATCCTAATCTTTTAAAAACGTGTGAATTCACAGCCAACAACCGTTTCAACAAACTGAATCTCACTAATGTACACAAATACATAAGGCTTTAGGATCCCATGGGACTGCTGGGTGCGTAGGCTCAGAATCTTTCGATAATCCCCAGAAAACCTGCGTGAAGAAAGCAGCTTTTTGATGGGGAGAACAAACATTAGCATTGCATCGTCTCCTGCTGCTTCCAGTCAAGTTATGCAGACATTTTTTCCGACAAGCTAATGAATTTTCATCCTTGGCCCGAGTTGTTAGCGTTCTTTGACGGACAACAGAGTCGGTTTCATTCACGGCGATGGCCTGATTCAAAGAGGCCACGGGGGGCAGCAAATAAAAGAGTCCTCATGTTCTCAACAGTGGAACACATGGTGAAATAATGACAACTCTGATGACAGAGAACAGGCTGCGTATTGACGGAACACAAAGGCCACGTTGACTGGTGGCTCTTAGTGATCCATAAGCAGCTGTTATCATTGTCTCATTGTCTCAATATGCTGATTCCAGAGGACAGAGGAATGTGTGTGTGTGTGAACGTTTGTGTATGTGCGCAATGATGAAAAGACTTCTTTTTTTAAATTAATTTTCACGCAAAATAACCTGTGCTATTACCTGAGTGTGTATACAAGTAGATGCCATGTGTGTCAACACATGTCGTGTATTTTTACAGTCCATGACCACATGCCTATGCGAACTGCGGAGCAGCCGGGAATCACTCGCTCCATTCAGAGCCACTTGGCTGTGATGCTGAGGGTGGTATGATGAAGCTTTGCTTGACTTCTCTGCAATGTCAGTCATGCACATTTTAAACGGTCAGGGAATAATGTTGGCTTTATATGCCAGGGCCTGGGCCACATGCAAATAGGGTCTGAGACAAACAGGGTTTTTACATCTCTGTCCTCAGAGAGCACATAATTCAGAAAATATTGTTTTATCCAGCTTAAACAAGAGATGTTGAGATGGGACCCTTTATGAGAGAGTTCAGCAAAAGTTAGGAAGTTTGCTGTATGAAAAAAAAGTATAACAGTGACTCTGCTTATAAAAACAAAATTGTTTCCATCACATTTGATGAAAAGTGTTTTTGTTCTGCTACATTATAATATAATACAGCAGGATAATCGAATTGGTTTATGACACACTATGTCTACAGGAAAGGTCTCTAAGCAACATAGTCACATCTTTTTTTGCAATAAAGAGTGTGTTTGTGTGTGTGTCCACCAATGAAGAACATGCCTCATTATTTCTCAAGAGCATATTGTTGGCTTTGTGTCTCCCTCACTTGTCATGCAGGATGAATCATTCATAATACAACACAAGCACAAAAACGCTCGGCTCTTACACAGAAAATACACCCATGTAAGGATGTGCTAAGAAGTAAACCCACACACAGCAGAGTAAATTGTTTGACTACTGTACTCACAGGGACAGCAGCACACATGTAATCCTTAAAGTCTATTTACTTTGAAGGAGATGGGCTGAGTGACTCATGCAAGAATCAAAACTTTTGATAAAAAGGCACAAACATTTACAAAGATGTGCTTTAAAATTCTCTTTTTCTTTAAAGAAAAAAAAAGGACAAGTCAGTGTAAACTGCTAAACACAAGGAAGTTTCCCAAGGTTTCAGAATTTAGAGAAGGAACGACTGGACCCAGGTCAGCTCTCATTAAAATCCTTGTGATTTAGACGTCCATCTTCATAACAGGCAAAATAATGCATTTGTGGAAACAATTAGTCATTATAGGTTCCAAACAATCAAACCTGGACTGAGGTACCGAGGTAGTGTTTACTTCCATCACTGTTGGTCCATAGAGGGCGCTCTGCCTTCATAAAACCTATCACAGGTAAACCTGAAAAGAAACAGATCTAGAGTCAAGTATTGATAATCATAAGATATAACAGGAGTTATAATGACATCATATGGCAAACGTTAGGTGCATGATATGGGAATAAACTTGGAGGAAATTAACTTTTATAGGACGTTTTAAACCATATGTTGTTACTATTTGGCCATTTTCTAAAATGCCATTTTTAAAGCGTAAATAAATGTTTGAAAACATTTCAGGAAACTGTATATAGTTATTTTAATTTTTTATATTTTAAAGAGTATTCGACATTTATGTCGTTAACTACATAGGCCTGGCGATAATCACAACGCTTCAGGGAGTTCAAGATCCTGTGTGCCCTTCCCCTCCGTAAAACCTGTTAACTCCCAGGGACTTCTGGGAAACGTAGTGTCAATGTACACTATTCAAGGGGGGATTTTCAGAGTAAACCTGAATCGGGTTTAGTCTTCAGCCTTGCGAAATAATTAAAAAAAGATGTATATTCGGATTATTCAGTAAGTTGTAAAATATTTGCAAAATAATTTTATTTTACATTTTCAAGTGTGACAAAACTACATTCTCCATGATGCTGTTCGTGTCGTGCGCGTGCTTCGTGAACGAGCGGGTTTTGGTGGAAAATGACCGTAGGGAGGCTTAAATTTCAAGATAAATTCGCATAATTTCATAATTAAGTGCCTTTTATCTTTATTCAATTTGAATGACTTCCGTCGTTAAACCTTAGCACAAGTACCTTGGTGGGAATTTGGAGACGCTGGATGATTTACGAGCCTTTTTTGACGGATGTCGTGTTCGTAACGGACGATTTCCAGGGACACACCGATAACCGTTAGTTTTTCGGCCCTTTAGAGTCAAAATGCCGCGGGGTAACAAAACTCCGCTCATCCAAAAGATAGCGAAACAGGCTTGCGTCACTTTCAAAGAGCTCAGGTCTTCGGCTAACTTCTCTGATAAGCAGCAAGAGCTTCTGTCCTTAGTGACCGCGGTGAGGGCGGCGGACCTGAGGATCAGCAGCAGACCCAGCAGCGGGGCGGCGGGCCAGCAGCAGAGCCCTCCGGTCACGTACATGCACATCTGTGAGACGGACCAGTTCAGTATGGGCGTGTTTCTGCTGCGGAGTGGAGCCTCCATACCGCTTCACGACCACCCGGACATGAACGGCATGCTCAAGGTCTAAATTCAGTCTGCTCCATTGTTGTGGCCTGTAGGCAAGTGTGTGCACTCAGGTTGTAAGGTGCAGGTCCACAAGCTAACGCCCCCTTTTAGTACGATGCCAAATGTACAACGTGCACGATTTTGATACGTATATTTAACGACATTATTAAAGCAGAAAGTATTTACTAAACTGACTTAACTTAGTATTAAAGTACTTTTGCGTTTATGAATAAACACCCAACATTTTAACTTGGATAAAGAGTGGCTCTTACCTTCAAAAGTTGCTATGTTGGCTCACCGTGTTTTACGGTAGCCGAGAGTGGACGAAATACTTGCTCGGAAACTACCAGAAAAATTCTACTTGATATCAGGGGATTTCGATAACATATCAAAAATAATATTTGTGCACTTTTAATTTTAAATGCACAGCTTCATGAACAAATACAGCAACATTCATTTAGTTAATAAAGTTATTTTTAACTGTTATTTAACAGCATTATTCCCTAACAGTTACAAAATGTAATGTAAATCTTAAGCAAAACATTAAGGTAATCCTATATTACATAGTAAAATCAAAGCAAGAGCAAGTTAAGACTCGATGTGTTCTTTTAAAGAGCTCCTTTAACCTTTAGATGCCAGCAAATCTGACATGGGGTGAAACTAACATTACACATTTTTGTCTTAGATATTATTACTGGAGTGTTGAATGCTTAATGAGGATCACTTTTGCTATTTATGTGTCTTCCTCTAAGGAGTTTTCTAAGGAGTTTTAAAGGTGGAAAGACTTTCACTTACACACGAACACATAAACATATACATGTGTGTTAACCCATAGCTGTTGAAGTTGGAAGATGTTTGTTTCTCACTTATTTTTCTCCTGACTGCTTTCAGGTTTTATATGGGAAGGTGAGGGTTCGCTGTTTCGATAAACTGGAGGCTAACGCCACAAACAACTTGGTCATACCTGAATTCAATCCTCCATTGACTCCGCTCCAGACAGACAACCTTTGGCGCTCCGTTCTCCGATCTGTGGCCGAGTACACAGAGAATAGCGGGCCGTGCCTTCTCACTCCTCTGAGGGATAACCTCCATCAGATCGACGCAGTGGGTGGGCCGGCAGCTTTCTTAGACATCTTGGCTCCACCGTACAACCCAGATGATGGTCGGGACTGTCACTATTACAGCATCCTAAAAACTGTGGCAGAGAAGCAAACCTCAAACAAAGGAAAGAGCAGTGAGGAGCATGGAGAGGAGAAGGAGGAAAACAAGGAGATATGGCTGCTGGAAATCCCTCAGCCTGAGGACTTTGGGTGTGGGGGTGAACCATACCCAGGCCCACTGGTCTCGATCTGAGCGGTCACAGCATCCTTTTACATGTCTTTACATTGTTATCTATCTACAACATTAGACTGCGTGCTCAACATAAGGATCACCTGGAGGTGATCAGCTCAAGGATGCTACAGCAGAGCAGAAATTTGAGGAGAAACAGGATCTATAAAGTGGGACAGCCCACACTGTCTGAAGACTACTCTCATCAGCAGTAGTCAAAGAACAAACTTTTGAGATCCACTCTTCAGATAAGGAAATATTTTTCCTAGGACCAATATTTTGCCGTGGACAATCACTGACATCTTCAGATGGATGTTGTTAGTTTTGCAGGGCGTCTTCTGCATTTCCTTCAGTGGACATCATTCCACATTGTGTCCTTATACCAAAGCCTGTAACTCGAAGTAGTAACTACTTTGTTGGTGATTATTGAATGTATACTTCCGAAAGGGAGGAATCTGTAGTTTTTACCAACAGTGATGTAGTGAAGTCCAACAACAGGACTGTCTGTTAAAAACTCCAACATTTCTTCCTTTATTGTGCCATTTTTATCAATCACACTGCTTTCTTCTAGCAAAGTGCACATACTACATTATAATCTTTACTATATATGTACAGTATACTCAAGTTTTATTTCCTGTGTTTAATTTATTCCAGAAGTTGGTTCATGCACAGGTCTGGACTTCAAGGGAATAGCTGATGCTCAGCTCCGTTTACATACTGTACCTGATCCTGTTATCATTATCCTAGTCATTCCACCTGTATGTAAACAGTGTCACATTTGTGATGTAGTTTGCTGCATTACATTTAAGACAGAAAGTACCTAGAACATAGTTTTACATTTCGTAATGTTATGAACCAAAACACTCTGACTTTCCTCACTACCTTTTTTCATGTGTATGAATACAAACACACACACACCTCTATACACTGTGTATGACACTACACTCCTGTTAGACTCCACATGTCCATGTGCCAGTTTGTCAGCGATTCTCTTTATCTGATGATGAACGTATGTCGAAAGAATAAAGTTGACAGAAAGACTTTTTAAACTTTCTTCCTCCACCGTCTTGTTCTATACCATCGGTATCACTACCAATACATGGTACAGTTAGCTCTCTTCTTACCTTTCTATATGAGGCCAAAGAATAGCAGGTACATTTTTAATATTGAAAAAAAAATTACAACACAAACCAAAAATCCTAAATTGTCAAAAAGTGACTGAAAATGCAACACTTCCACCTATTTTATAACTACTAACTACCAGTTTGTCATTAAAATCAAATGGCATTAAATCTATATGTCAAACAAAAATATGTATGAACAGTATATTTAAAAAAAACATTTCCAGGGATACATTTATGGGTCTAAACCCATGTGCCGTATGAGCAGGATTTTTGAGCAGTACTGGCAACAAAAAAAGGCATTTCAATTAAGTGGAGTCAGGGCGCAGGTAGGACACGAGAGCAGCACTGGAGAGACAAGGATCAGGTGCAACAAATAAGTCAAAACTGGCCAGGCAGGAAGAAATGACACAGAAATATTTAGAACAGGAACACAGGCACAAGCATGAGCAAGGTCATGAACACAAAGCACAAAACAGACGGAGCATGGATTCCAAAGGTGAGTGTGATCAGACTTTGTGGGATAACTGTCACAAATGGATGCTGCGTTCAGAAATCACATGGTTATTATGCTAATTAATTAATATTATTATGAAGACACTTTGGTTTTATACTTGCACGTTCACAGATGTTGCTTAACATCTAGCTCCAGTTAGATCGTCGGATGTGTGTCACACATTACTTACCCACTGAAGACCATCAGACAGCTCCCACTTGGGGTCTGCTGGACCGAAGACCCATGACCTCTGGATGTGAAGTCTCCAGTTGCCCCTCCTCACCATATGATCTTCATAGAGAGAGACTTCCAGACTGAAGAATGAAGCTTCACAGAAATGACAGAAAAAAATGTCAGTGTTTGTGCATGTGTTGTACAGTAGCTCCCACACTGATACACAGTGGAGCGTTTGAGATACACATTAGGAATTAGTCCTAATTTGTGGCATTTTTCACAGCAACATAAAACAGAAGAATTCAAAGAAAAAAAAAGGAAAATATATTATCTTCAAGAAGAGAAACTTTATTTAATTTTTTTGCAGATTTTGTCTATTTGTATACATATGTATTTCTCTTGGCTCACTTAAATTTTACTACAGTGATACATACGATATGTACAGTAGTTTTACAGTCTTAAGATTTCGCCTGTACCTACACATCGAGGCTGATCTGGACTGCCATCACAACTACAGCAGTCACGACACTGACCGTGGCTAGTTGTAATTATCCTCAATTTCCAATGTGAGGTCTATCAGACCAGTTTATCAGTATGGGGAATATTTGTGGTGCAGCTTCAACAAGAAAAGGGTGTTTTGTCAATCACCACTAACCCAGATGTCAGTCATGTCTGACTGTAAATTCACTGACTTAACACTCATAGAACATTTCTGAGTTTGTCAACGGAGTGTTACAGGAGTTACATTACAGCCGTAGCTCTCTGTTCTTTATAAACTATGAAATAAGTGTTTTCTATAGAGCCATAGAGTGGGGACAGCACTCTGACACTGATGTCTTTGTTCAGAGCTGCTCATTCTTGTGGTCAAGCTGGCAGCGGATGAATAAAGATGTCACAGATAACTGCAGCCTTTTCACCACTGCATCTTAGAAGCAAATGTCTGACACCGCAACGGGGTTCTAACCCTAACCCTAACCGGGAAATGTCCTTGCTTCCTCCTTGTTCTGTGAATCCTAGCGTCAAATATCAACATACAGTATACCAATATCAAATCTGTGCTAAACCACTCCAACATGTTGTGTCCCAGAACTAAACTCCACTGCCGAAACAACCAAACTCCACCTTGACTTCCTTTCTTTTTGCGACATCAGTCAAAAAGTGTGGGGCACCAACAAGTAAACAACATGGGTACGACTGAGATGTTGATCAGTCTAGACGGCGGCAGGTACAGGAAGAACTTTCTTCAGCATTCTCAGAACAACAAAAACTTTGAGCCACTGATTTTGCACCCAGATAAGACTTTATCTTTAAAGAGAGAACAAAAACTTTGAGCCACTGATTTTGCCCCCAGATAAGACTTTATCTTCCTCAAAACCTCAAAGTTTCATGTTAAAACCAAATTAGGGAGAAAATAGTAGAAGGGACTTACCTGATGGACAAAATATCTGGTCCAACCCAAGGACATTTGAAAGGGTTTTCTGTGGTTATGGTAGCTGTGTATTTGAAAACACAAAAACAAAACTATAACTATTTCATATCTTTTTGGTATATATTCCCCCCTCTTTCCTATTTCTCACACTGTAGTATCCTACATAGAGAAAGGCTATAATTTGTTTAACAATATTACATCAGATTATCCTTTAAAAAGTTGCTGTAACATAACTGATCTAGAGCGAAGAATAAAGCCTTAATGATGTTCTGACATGGAACCACAGACCACACCCTGGGATGTGGACGGTCAAGAAGGGACACGAATTTGCTAGTTTTTCTGTATATATGAATTATTGGGTTCTTTATTTAAAATAAAGAAGTACTCTTATTCTTTTGTGCTACACGAATGAATCGAAACAGTGTATTAAAATAATGAGTAGGAATCCGGGAGTTATTTGACTTTTTTTTTTTTCAACTTAAGCTAAATATATTTTTGCAGTTTTTGCAGCAACAGGTAAACAACACCAACCTATGATATAAACCTAAAGGTGAACTTGTTACTTATTAAATGACAAATAAACACTTTAAAAAATACATCATTAACTTCAATTAACTCACTTTTCTTTTTGCTTAAACAAAGCCAACTTGATTAAAAGTGCGTGGGCAACAAACCTTGAGTCAGATGCGCCAGGTGTGACGTCATTTGGAATTTACCTAACACATTTTTCCAAGTTCGTGTGATCTACGAGCGCGTTCATCTGCAGAAATGCAAAGGAAACGAATATCCTTCAACCCCTTTGTGGCACTTCCTGTTCCACTGTGACGGAGACACATGAAAGTGATAAAGCGTGTTTTCTTTTCTTTTTTTGTGCTTTTTTTTAGCATCATAGATTTTAATAACACACTTCACAAACAAAAAACGGTCAAGTCGGAAGTCCAACAACTCCCAACGTGTTTTTTACAACGTGAACTACAACGCCTTCACACTCTGAGTTACACCAAAATGCATACAAAAATATAGGTCTCAGCTGTACAATATTAAAGACAAATAAACACCATTTGTTACAATGTGAATCAATGTACAAAAAGAACACGCAACAAGGCACCAAAGGAGGAAAATAAGGTCAAACAAACATATTAGAATGAAACTTGGTCAATTTAAATAATTTAAAACTGTTTTTTTTTCACACTGTTATTGCGGTTATTTCACATTTAAACTCGTCCAGTGCCTTTTGCGCGTCAATTTTAACCTCCCCACTCCCTCCTTTTCAACCGCTTTTTAGACAATTCTTCATCGTTGCATGATTATATTCACTTATATATTCAGTAGACTGTGCAGGCAAAGTGCATTTGTGTCAGTCTTGGTCAGTGTTGGAGCAGGGGTAAGTTTGTGCGTAATTACGCACGGCTGCACAAGTTCTTGGCCATTTCCAAACTGCAATTTAGTTCTAAACAGCTTTATATTAAGTTTTCTTGTTTTTGTTTGTTTGATGCTGTTTTTCTTCGTGGGGTGTTAGTTTGCGTCACGCAGTCACAGTATTAAAGTTTTTAAACTAAGGGCAGAGCCCGTTGTTTGCGCTGATTCCGCTTGACTGCCGCTCCATCCCGGTGCTGCCGGACGAGGAGGAGGAGGACGACGAGGAGACGTTGGACGACTTCCTCTCCTTCTGCCTAAGATGGATCTTAGTGTGCCTCTTCCTCTCGTCGCTTCGGGCGAATTTTCTCCCGCAGAAGTCGCAGGCGAAGGGCTTCTCACCCGTGTGCGTGCGGATGTGCGTGGTGAGGTGGTCACTGCGGCTGAAGTTGCGCATACATATCCGGCACTGGAAGGGCTTGTGTCCGGTGTGGATGCGGATGTGTCGGGTCAGTTCATCGGAGCGGGAGAACCGTCGGTCGCAGCCCTCCGCCGGACACGGGTATGGTCGCTCATGGATGGGCGTCTTGCTGGGTCTGTTCGGGTACTTTCTGGGCCGCAGGATCGGCCTCAGGGGTAAGTTCTGTGGGCTGTAGGCAGACGGGAGCCTCGGTGGACCCCCCTCGGAGCCACCACCAACACCACCACCTGGACCTCCAAGCGTAAAGTTCCTGATAGTGTTCAGTGGGGTCAGAGGTGGAGGCACACGGAAGGAATCTAGTGGACATGCGCCAAATGGTTTCCGATCTTGGATACTGGCTGTGTGCATGTCCCGCTGACAGGAAGGCTGGAAGAAGCCAGAGTAATCTGGGAGGATGGGGAACAGACCCGGAGCGTCTGAGCTGACGGGTGGTTTGGGTGAGGAGTAGGAGGGCGGCGGGTAGGAGGTGATGGGACAGGTGGAAGTGGACAGAAATGCGGAGGTATCCTGGTACATCTCCCCGCAGCCTGAGGAGGAGTAAGGAGGCGGAGGAGAATACAGGTGGTGGTGGTGATGGTCCATCTCTGCCGGGTTTGGAGCCGCCATGGTGCAACTCAAATTTCCGTTGGAGAAGTGGCCGGGAGATCCAGAGGACACGGGTGAGGAGGACGCTGAAGAGGAGGGAGGAGGTGGAGGAGGAGGCGGCTGGGCCACGTTAAAGATGCCCGAGACAATGTTGATGACTCCCTCGGGGTTCCAGTTTCCAGGATACTGGGAGTCGATGGAGAACTTGCCCATGTAGGTGAAGGTCTGGTTGCGGTGGGACGCGGGCTGAGAGAAGCCGCCGGAGTAAGGAGAGAGGTCCAGACAGCGTTTCTCTGCGCTCATGTCTGCGCTCATCAAAGCATCTGCGGAGGAGAAAAGCAAACACATCATTAGTGATGAAACGCAAACCCCATTAATTAATGTGGTCTCAGGTGGGCAGTAAACGGGATTAAACCCGCAGCAGAAACTGCTGCTTCTTCGTGTCCATGCGCACAGACTCTGGTCATTTCAATTAATCTAGAACTCGGTAAGTTCTTCTTATATTTCTACCTCGTACATATACATAAATCACAATTTATGTCAAATTAAAAATGAACCACGACATACAGATAAAAGTAAACATTTGGACTCTTTTTTAGAAGTGTATCATCTTACCTGTTGCCACATTCATCTGGTCGTAGTGAGCTCCCAAGTCTGTGCTGGGGAAAATGGACACAGAGGTGGGCATGCTGGCTGCGATGTCATCCACGGAGTACACGCTGTCAGCCACGGGGTGCACGAACCCCCCGAGATTCACTGGCACCTTCTCCAGAGTTTTGGCCGTCATTGCACACAAGAGGACTTGCCTTCCCTCTTCCTCTGTCCCTGCCTGATCTTTGTCGCTTCCCAAACTCGTGACTTAACTACAGTGTGGAGCTCCAGCCCTGCGTGGGTCACCAATGCATGTCCCACAGTGTCTGTGAGTGAATGTGCTCCGTGGGTCTGCTGCGCTTCATGCGGTCTGCTCAAATGAAATTCAGCGCAGCGTGAACTGGAGGGTGACTGTGATGGGGAACGCGGGCCCTGCCACCAGTTTGTATATAAGGGGAACCTTTTGAATGCGGCCGCCACGTCATTGTCCAAATTTGGAGTAGGCGGGGCGACCAGAGCGGAGAACTAAGTGTCGCTGCTCACGCTGATTGGAGGAGAGGCTCCGTGACGATTTCAAAGGGAATCACTTGTCAGTGGAGAACCCGCTACACAGGGGAGAGAGTCGGCTCGGAGTTTTCCACTTCGCGCTGATCGACATGCAAACAACTCTTAAAGAGGAAGTGAGCTGACAAACAAATAAACAAACTGTGGTGCCTGTGTGGAAACTCTCCACAACTTATAAATAACGTGGTCTTATTGTAAAGATGTTTTTTTTTTTTTTTTTGGCACGGACTCCCGTTAATCTGATCGCACTCTGAAATCAAAAGAGGAATTCCGGTCCATCTTCATAAACCATAAAAGGCTGAATCCGGTAACACCCCCGTGCTCCATTTTTGGTTTCGATTCCGGGCTGTGATAATCGGAAAGTGACGAGTTTTACCGATTTGAGTGAAGAACGAGAGAGCAGAGAAGAGAGAAAAAAAGATAGGGTGAGAGGGGGACAGGGGAGATGGAGAGAGACAGAGAGAGACAAAGAGAGAGAGCTCATGACCACAATTCAAATCAGAAGATCAAATGAGCGGAATTTTTGCTCCCCGAGCTGCGACCTCAGGCTCCACTAGCTCGGAAACTTGTGTCAGTCTGATTTGACTAAATTTGCTCCGGGAAAAAATAGAATTGTTTTTTACCGAGTGGAGTTAAATATAGTCACCCTGAGATATATATGTATACACCGCGCTACAGAGGAGGTGGTGAAATTAACAATAATATAAATAGTAGGTGATTTTCATTTTTGATTTAATAATAATGATAATAATAATAATAATAATAATATAGACACTGTAATTTAAAATAGATTTAAACATATACTAGCCCCCATCAGCTCAATTTGAACCATGATAACAAAACGATGTCGGCAGGTAATGGCCCTTTAAAAATGACAGACACAAAGAGTCCGTCATAACTGGTGCAGAATTATCCTAGAAAATCTAAATATAAAAATATTAAACGTTTGTCCGACAGAACTACTGTATTATGTTGATAAAATACTGTGTCAGATCGGCATGTTTTGGGTGAAAACATAATTCCATTCCAAAACCATCTCTTCGGAGTAACTGAGTAACATTACTTGAAAATAATGATAAACGAAATGTTTAAAGATAGGGTTTGTGAGATACTGGATCCCCGAGTCTCCAGGCCCGGAAGACTTGTATGCCCTCCTGTGGCCTTCCTAGGAACTGTTCCCAGGGTGAGCTCAAGAGAGAGAGGGAGAAACGAAGAGGGCGGGGTGAGCGACTCCTTGATGATGTGAAGTCCCTTTGTGGGTGGACAGAATAAGACTGACAGAAAACTGACATTGGTGGGAATAGTTACATAATAATACTTTAATTTCCCGATAGGAACTCCCGAGGGATTATTAAGGTTCTATCTAACTGTCTGTCTGTCCGTCTGTCTATCTTGCTATCTTATTTTAGTTTTATTCTTTGCAAGATTATTTCATAACCTTTAGCTTTTGGTAGCTACGTAGCTCTGTAATTCATTTCTTTTATAAAATGATGTTGACTTTTTTTCTTTCAATATTCTCATCTCATATGCTATTGCAATTATTTGTGGCACTCATGTACTCATTTGCTGTATCTGTATTTCATGTAGGACACTGTTGGAAGTGAGTTTGTAAAAAGTATCTTTAATACTACCCCTGACAGAGGTAGTATCTCCATCGTGGTCTGGTGGAAGTCGGTAGCCACATTTCCCAGTACTGACATGTCTGAGGCTCAGGAAGTGGTGCAGGAAATAACCTTCTGACAGCCTCTGTAGGAAGTCACCAGAGTCTAGTGTACTAAAATGTGACAGATGTTTATTGCATTGTTTACAATTGATCTGCAGCAGCAACCTCTGGGAAAATCCCTGGACCGTATACCTCAGATGAACCTGAGCACAGTACAGTAGGATGCTATTGTAATATTACCACAGAGGCTAAGAATGTGCCGTGTCAACAGGTATTTGCAACAACGGTTTTCAAAGCACCAAACCTCAGAACCCACGCTTTATGGTCAAGACCCAGTTTTTGAGGAGCACACGATTGTCTTTACAGTAAATCAGGAATTACGCAGTGACTTTATACTAGAGCTGAGTTCTACAGTATAGCCAGAAATAATATCAATGAATACAAAACATATATATCATTATTACACACATTTGTTATGCTGCTCTTCTCAATCTAATCTGTAAACAAATGTGAAGTTGTTTTTCAGATGTGCAAATCCAAGTCAGGCTCAAGATATTCCCTCATACATTTAACAATCCCAGGTGTTGTAACAGGGGAAGTATATGAGTTTATATGAGGTTATCCTATATGTATTTCAACGATTCTACTGTGCGGCGCTGGAAATCTAAATTCCACCTGACAAGCAAACATACCAACCACCAACTGGAGGCTGAAGCCAGGGTCTGTTTTTTTCCCTTTCACTACTGTCTTCTTTCCAATAACTATTTCACTTTCAAACACTCCCTCGGAGCTCACAGCCACTTTCACATGAGGGAATATTCATTTATTGCCTTGTCAGTTTAATGTCAGCCATATCGAGACAAACCCACGCCAGATACTGTTTGCTTCTTTATCCCACTCACTTTTGTCTGAGTGGGAGCAAAGAAACTGGGGTGTGTGCATGCAAATACATGTGCTCATTAGGCGTCAGCATATTTATATACGAGTGGGTCGATGGAGAAACAATGAGTGAGCAAAGGGAGTCAAAGGGAAAAATATTGTTGGATTTGAATTCAAATTGGACCAATCAGCAACGAGCAATCATCCATTCTGAAACCATTATTGAGGACTTTCCAGTTTTGCTGAAGTCACATTAAATATGAAGCAATAAACACAAAGACTTTAAAGTGTGGATGTGACCTTTGAAATATAAGAGCGGTGATTTACTAGGTGACCCGGGGACACCAGCAGGGGCAACTACAGTCTGGACAAGGGCAAATATGAAAGAGGAGCTTCACTACTGATCTGGGACATATGATATAAATTCATTAGCTTGTCCGATTGAATTAGTGAGTTTACTAAATTAAATTACATAACTTGTTTTTTTATACTATGGGAAATGTCCATGTAGGCTTCCATACATTAGCAAACATAGCTTGGGAGCTACTTTTCAAATGACCGGGGTAAAGTGATCTACCTGCACTGAAAATTCTAAATATATATTTACTACTTTGGTTAAATGTCTGTAGTTGTATGGCACAATACCGTCTGACTCAACACCTAACCTTAGAATTAAATCTATCATTTTTAAGTGTTTTTGCTTCTTTAACTGTAATTGCTCAGGATCTACCAGCACTCTCTTTGAGATCTACTGGTGGATCCTGATCTACTTATTAGACACCCCTGCTTTACAACATGTGTTGTCAGGGCAAATGTGAATCCAGTTTTTATTAAGTCACTGAAACACAATATATTAATCCCAACCTTTCATTGAGTCCTAAAGATTATTCAAAAAGTCCAGCTTTTATGCTGTTATACCGCGACACACAAATGTTGTCTTTTTTAAGGCGGTTGAACCTTTGGCATTACCCTTTAACAATACGTCACCTACGCACTTCCTATCTGAAGTTCATGCACTGAGTCATGTCAACACTGACTGTGTAATGAAGCCAAACAGAAAACCCATCTTTGACCACACTAGTAATTCCTCACACAACAACCTGTTCTCAGCCTCAACATGAAGAAGACGACCTGCTCCTGACCAACACTGACCACACTGAAGCATATGATCAAGTTTTGGTTCTTTTGGTGAGTCAGAAAAAAAGAAACCAACAGATTTTTATGAGAAAACATAGTGTAAATGCACGGAGAAGATCGACGTCAGTTTCAGGTCTGTGTTTCGCAGAAGAGTGTAGATGTGTTCATTCTAACTCAGCAGTCAGAGAGTTAATTCATCTATCATAGAGTATTAGGTCTGGACAAGTAGATGAAGACCACACACACACATACACACACACACATACACGCTGCATTTATAATAAAGAAATGTGGCTACAGTAACGCAGCTAAGCCACATATGCATGGTTTGCGTCCCTCTCTTCTCCATGAAGACCAGTCTGAACTGACCTGTGGCACCAAATCTAACACCACAGCACATACTGAACTTGAGACGTCAAGCTTTGATCCAGATTTTTTTTTTTTAAAAGACCAGAAGGTCCTTCAACATCCTGCTGGAAGACTCTTCAAGAGGACACTCTCCTCATCAAACCAGTCCACACCGGGACACACAATAACACGATTTTGCACGAGGTGGAAGATCACTGCTCTGAATTCTTAAAACCATAATTCTTCCTTTAAAAGCACCAGGGCTGTGGCCACCATGAGTGTTGGCTTTGTTACATCACAGACCGATCACAGCTTTCACTGGCTGCTGTGTGAAACATGAAAGTGAGCAGAAACACTCTGATATCGGTCCAAGATAGAGAAGAAGAAAAGGAGAGAGAACAACCAGAGAGATGGATAAAAGAAAGAAGCTGCAGAGTAGGAAACCTCTGTGGCACACAGACAGGCCTTGTCTCAGTCTGGGGGCCTCTGGGGAGGGCATGGGGGGGGGGG